GGATATACTTAGCAACAGAAGGGCGCCCTGTACGTTGGGCACGAAGTATAGGAAACTTGCATGGTTAAAAAGAAGGGCGCCGCCTACGTTGGGCACGACTTCCGCCTCATTTTTACAATGCGAGAACTCTATCTTGTATTTCTAGTATATTTGATTTACAGTTAGCTGTGCGTATGCTGATTTTTGCTCCTGCAGTACGCGTTTAATTAATACACATCAGCAGTACAGTACGGATACGATGAATAACTATTGTAATTTGTATTGTGTTTGAAAGAATTTATTTGTAATGCTATTTTGATAGACTTTCGTCAAAGTAATAAACAGTTCAGCATTCGAGAGAGAATACAGTCACTGACGTCCTTTTTGGTCGGTGCATGCAGACAGGTAAAATCGTGCGATGATTTCGTAACTAGGCTAGGCTACGGCCGGGGCCACGGCCTAGTAGTAGTAGGAGGAGGCCTGGGCGGCTTTCGCCTGGCCGTAGGCCTACATCTAAATTTGTTTCGTTGAGTCTTTAAAATAGGTCTAAAATATTCCTATTAAACGTTCAGTTTGTTGTGTTTATGAGGGTCCATGGATTCAATAAATTCCTTAATTGTTCATAATTTTAAGTAACTTTCTTTTGGTTCTAATTAAGCTTGTTTTACGAAAGTAATTTTCAATTACAATTCAATTTTTATTTTTATTTTTTCGGTAACGAAAAAATGAGGAATTTTTTTTTGTACACGAACCTAAAAAAATCAAGGCAAGCGTTCACTAATAGAAAAATTAGTGGACGCTGGGGGAATAGGCAAATAACATTGGGAGTTACAGTGATGACGTCATGATTGAAGTCTATTAAATCACCTCCGATTTGGAGACATCTCGCGTTAATCAACACTTGTTCACCAAAAATGTAGAAAATTCACATTTACAAAAATTAATGACTACGATGTTTCCAACTTGACAGTACTTACAAAGTTTGTGATAATAGACGATTGATATTTGTAAGCTGTAGATGTGGGCTTTTTAAGATCGTCAACATATCCACCATTATTACCGGTATATGTTAAAGCCACAGGAAAAACGAATATATCTAAGATGATTAGAATTGAAAATCAATAAACAATATACTTTGCATAGCAAGTGAACCTTTTGATTATTACACATTTCCATAATTGAAAGGGGAGGCATGGGGTGGGGGGGATTCCGGGGCTCAAGCTTACCAGCGGCCTATAGAAATTGCAGGTAGTATTTTTTTCATTTTTTAAAAAGTAATAGTTACTATGAGCCCCCAATAATGGCATTAGTCCCCCAATAATAATGAGCCCCACCAAATTGACAAACCCCCCACACAAAATAAAACAAACAAATTCTGTGCGCCTTTGGTGCAATCACTCTTGCGCTCCGCGCTTGTAATTGGGGGCCACACCAACCTCTACCCCAGTTACAGTTTCTCCTCTTGGCAGCCCAATTATTACAGTTAACAACCTATACGAATGAATGAACACTATAACTAAATTACAAAAATAAAAACAATCTTTTTTTATTGCTTTAATAACATGGAGATTTGTATACTGAATTAATTTTTAAATCTACATAGGCTTAGGTTCCACATGCGATTTTGATATAAAATGTGTTGCTGTTCATTTTATTTATACACTTTATTTTTGGTAGCCAAGAGAACTATTTATAATTATTCATTATAAACTACTTTACCATTTGCAACCAATGTAACGTTGTTTGAAAAATATAAATTGCCACTATGTTCTCCTGCTCCAAATCCACCGCATTGGTAATAACCTAGATTATCAATTGTTATTTTAACTGTTATTGTATGCAGATTTTTTGTTGCTAATAGAGAGACTTCATCCTTATACCACTGCCAGTTACTTGAATCGCTGACGTTGCACGTAAGGGAAATACTACCATAAAGGGCAGCCTCCGTTGGGGTTGGTACGACTGAAAAACGTGGTTCCTCTGGAAAAAAATACAAAAAAAAAAAATTAAGGTAAATTGAATACAGTAATAGAAAAATTGAATAAATTAGACAACCTTAAACAATTTGAGTGAGATAATGATTTTAAAAGAAGATTAAATGCTCATCATTTTTTATTATTTATAATTTAGTGAGATGTGAAAAAAATGGGGTTTTTTTTTATGTTACTCTGTGGCATAACATGGATACCTGGATATGTGGATAATAAAAAGAAATGTTATTATTATGATGCATTTTGCAGGTTCTTTAATTGAAGAGCACAGCTCTCAAAAAGTTTACATTATTTATTTACCTGGTCCATTTTCACATAATTCACCAGAATAAAATGTTGGACACATGCATTTAAAATCAATAGCTGAACAAACACCGCCATTTACACAAATTTTTTCTCCACCACCGCAAGCATCTGAAGAAAGCAAGAAAAAAGTTTAAAGAAATAGAAAGAAAAAAATCCAAACAATATAAATTGTTTGAAATTATAAGTATAGGCAGTTCTACTATCAGTCAGAAACCAGATATCTTTTTTAACTGGTAAATTGAAAAGAAAAAAAAAACGTATTTTTGTAATTTGCTGTTAAATTTTATAAAGTACTGATTGTGTTTTCATTACACCTACCTATTACAAAAACATTAAACGAACATGTGGCCAAATTTCCATATACATCAGTGGCATTATAAGTAACAGAATGTTGACCCACTTCCCAGACACCGGGGAAAGCAGAAGCAATCAATGTTACTTCTAGTCCAGAATTATCCTCTGGTTCTGCAATGCTCCAATTAACGCTGTTAGGTTTATCGGTAAGAACTTTGTTTGGGCAGACAAGATTTGGTTTCTCTGTATCTGAAAAAAGACATATAATTTACAACTGTCCTTACAGTTGCACAGAACAGTATACTAGCGAGGGCATGGTTCAAGACTAAGATGGGCTCTCTGGTCTGCGAATTGCTTTCAATGTCCGTATTATGCCAAACAAGCTTGGCGTTGTTAAGTAACGATCAAAATAACGCATTCAATATGAATAATTTGTATATAGTCATCAGATGGTGCAGCCTTGTTAATTAGTACTAATCACGTGGCTGTAATGCTCACCCAAGATGTCAATTTGTTTTTCTTTGTATGTCCTTAGTTTATGTGATAAAACTAAACACATTTTTATTTTCCAAAATAAATCAAACACCTGTTTCTGTCGCTGTCAACTTCGTAAGTGTCAAAAGTCACTGGGAATTTTGAGTACGAGACTCCCGTAACTGTTTTCGTTCACACACAGTATTAGTCCATCTAGACCAACGACTACAAATGCTATAGCTGCGAAAGCAGGAGTATTCTCATTTTAACGTAAAACCTATTCTAGAATCAAACTTTATTTATAAATGCTTTTAGTCAATGGCTGTGTCAGTCATTTTATAAAAGTTTACAATAGCAATATATTGCTTTTGGTCAATAAATGTTAGATAATTGAACGAAGGTGTTTGCAATGTAAACTATCATTCTTAGACAGTAGTTGCTGTGACATAACGCCCAACTTCTTGAGTTATAAGCTAAATAGATTCTATTATTGAATCATACAGATTACGAGTAAACCAGACTTTAATAATATCACAAAAATGAACATTAGCTATGACCGTTCCTTTTTATGATGACTAACATCGGCAATAGTGTCTAACATAGGACGATTTTTTTTGACAGACTTGAGGAAATAAAAATCAAACTCAACTTTGCATTTAAAAAATGTTTAATGAGAATTGTCAACTACATGCCACGCACGTATAAAATCAAATTAAAACAAAGCGGAACAAGTGAAAAGAATGGGATACTCTGAAAAGGTCCCACAGATTTAGTGAAAGAATGGAATAAGAAAAAAAGGGGCACAAAGATCCTACGAAGTGCTGCGGCGGGCTCTTTCTCTCCATCTCACTCTCTCTCTCTCTCTCTGAGATCAGATCGATGAGAGGAAGAAACCTATTGTCAAAATAAAATTTTGGGCGCCCTAAATTTTCCCAAATGTTTTCGCCCATTTTCGGCACTTGAGCAAAATAGTAAACATACACAAAATTACGATGGCTAAGCAATACCAATACAGCAGGAATCCTTGGAACGAACCATTACAATATTTTGACCATAATTACAGAGTGTATATGGAACGCACTGATAATAAGTCAGTTTTATATTAAGTAGTAAGATGAATGAAAATAGGTACTCTTGATTTAACGACTTGCAGCTGCTTATAGCTCTGATAATAAGTTTAGCTCAGATGAGGAACTCTAGGAGTAATTATTGGTTAATATATCTCTTTTGGTCATTGATTAATTTATATTTTTTAGTCCTTGATTAGTAGATCTTTTTTGGTCATTGATTATTAGATCTTTTTTGTATGGGCGGTCGTTAGGGCCAATATACTGCCTCTATAATACTGCTGATTGATTAATATATTTTTTAGGTCCGCGTCACCAGTTTTGAACGGACGTACAGGGAATTTTGTACACATGAACTAGAGGTGATTTCCAACAAACGTTCATGGTATTTTTTTTTAAAGTTGGACCCCAGGGTGGCCCATACACCTTTAGCAAGGACTGCAAATTACTGCCATTTCTACTAAGAGGACAAGTCGCAAGGATGGCACGATTGGTTAAGGAAGTGTTCTAAGGAACCAAAAATTACTGCCATTGCCACTAATAGGACACGTGGCATCGGTAACGAAGTGTCCTAAAAGAAACAAAGGGTTGTGAGTTCGAATTGCGTCTTGGTATTCAATTTTTAAGACATTTTACATTTTCAATTTAAACACAATTTAATTTTGTACAAATGAACATTCTAATTATTGTTAAGTTGGACCCCAAGGTGCCCCATACACCTACAAAACAAAACAAAACAGAGGTTTCAGTATTGACTGTACATTACTGTCATTACCACTAATAGTAGTGTTCTAAGGAATCAATGGTCGTGAGTTCGAATCGAGTCTTGGTATTTAAGTTTATATTTATTTTTTTTTTCAATTGTAACAAATTTCAATTTTGCATAAATGAACATTTTAATTATTTCTATTATTGTTTTATATATTGTTTTGTCAAACGGCTCTCAAATATCTTAGAGGTTCATTCATACAATATATATATA